TCTTCTACCAAAAGGCAAGGGGCTGGTGCAATGCAGCCCTACGGCTGTCAGCCCCACAGCTGCCCGCACCCAGATCGCCAATGAAGGCTACCAGTCATGCTGCACCGTCTACCACCAAAAGGCAGTTAGCTACTGCTGCTGTGTAGCAATGCAGTCCCACGTCTGCCGGCACCTAGATGACATATGGTGACGGTGAGCTGAGCTGAGCGGGCTCCATGCTTGCCGTGGTATGTTGTCTGCACAGGTAACCCAGGTAAAAAGGAGCGAATCTATTGTCTGCCGTTGCTGTGACGTAGGGGGAGGGACCTGACGACATGTACCCAGAACCCCCCGCGGCACTGTTTTGCATCATCCAGGCATTGGGATCTCAACCCATAATTCCAATGGGCGGCGGAGACTGCGGGAACTGTGGGATAGCTACCCATAGTGCAATGCGCCGGAAGTCGACGCTAGCCTCGGTACTGTGGACGCGGTCCGCCGAACTAGTGCACTTAGAGCATTTTATGTGGGGACACACACAATCGGCTGTATACAACCGATTTCTATAAAACCGGCTTCTATTAATTCGATCTAATTTCGTAGTGTAGACATACCCTTAGAAACTTTCACCTAATTTCAAGGCTAAACTTGTTGATGGCCAGTTTATAGCCATTAGTTCTTGTGTTCTTGGCACTTAAATAACTCCTCTCCCACCCTGGTATTTGTCCCTCTGATGTATTTATAGAGAACAATCACATCTCCCCGCAGCCTTTGTTTGGTTAGGCTAAACAAGCCAAACTCTTTGAGTCTCCTCTCATAAGGTAGGTTTTCCATTCCTCTGATCATCCTAGTAGCCCTTCTCTGCACTTGTTCCAGTTTGAATTCATCTTTCTTAAACATGGGAGACCAGAACTGCACACAGTATTCCAGATGAGGTCTCACCAGTACCTTGTATAATGGTACTAACACTTCCCTGTTGCTACTGGAAATACCTTGCCTGATGCATGCTAGGACTGCATTAGTCTTTTGTCCTCTGGTGTTGATGGGCCTTTTTTGTTAGGCTTGAGATAACACTTCCTGTTGGAAACTAGTATTTCACACTCATTAATGCTTCTCTCCTGTCTGGTGATTTACAGGTACAAACACTCATATATTTTGACAACATGAGATACAGGTGAGATTAATGCATGCAGCAATTTACAAGCATTTCATAAAGTCTAAACACACTGTTGTAACTCTAATAACTATTTTAACAATACAAACACACAGGGGAGCCAGACTGGTTCCAGCTATGCATTTGTCTGTGTTCAGTTGAGACCCTGGGACCTTGGCATGAGCTGACACCTGGTCTGCCAGCATCACAAATGGGTCAAGTGATTTTTGGCTGTAAAGTGCTTTGGGATGAAACATTCAATAAAACCCTAAAATATTGTAAATTGCTACCCTCCCCCAATCTTTCACTAAGATGTGCTCAACCCTGGGTTGAGAATGGACACCATGATCGTACTCCCAAAGGCAGACCTTTACACAACAGATTGTGATTGAGAAATCAGCACATCCATTACTAATCTACCCACAGAAACCTTCAGAATTCTGAAGAAATCCATTCTAATACTGCCATGCTATAACACTCATAATGCTCATCAGAGCACTCCATAATGCAGTAGACTGAATGCTGTGAAATGTATTAAATACTATGAATAGGACCCTACCAAATTCACGGCCGTGAAAAATGTGTCTCGGACCGTGAAATCAGATCTCCCCTGTGAAATCTAGCTATTGGAGGGGAGGGGCAGGGCTGCGGGCACCCCAGCTGTGGGCTCCTACTGTACCCCCAGCTCCAGCTGCTAGTCCCCTCCGGGCTGGGGAGGGTCAGGACTCTTCCCCTGCATGGCAGCACTTGGGAGGAAATCAGATCCACCTCCAGGTACCTCCCTTGGCTGGGGCGCTCCCAGCAGCACCGGGGAGATCAGACCCACTTCCACCTCCAGCAACATTCTGCAGTCAGGGTAGGTACCCAGAACTGGGCCTGATCTCCCCCCAAGCACAGCCGTGTAGAAGAAGAGCAAGTCCTGTCCCTCCCCAGGCCAGCCGGGACTAGCAGTTAGGAGCCTCTAGCTGCAGCGCTCCCAGCAGCATGAGGGAGATCAGAGCCACCTTCATCTCCAGGAACCTGCTGTGGCTGGAGGAAGCTCCGGTGCTGCTGCCTTCAGAGCCCAGTACAGAACTGAAGGTGGCAATCCATGACGCTCCCCCCCCCCCACACACACACACACACAACACAGCTTTGCAACATCCCCATGACCCCCTTTTGGGTCAGGATCCTCATGCTTACAACACATCATCTGAAAACATGAAATAGACTAATTTTCAAATCCTATGGCTGTGAAATTGACCAGCATGGACCCTGAATTTAGTAGGACCTTAACTATGAAGCTAAGAGTAGCTTTTGCTTGATTTCAATTGTTTTATTTCCTTTGAGGAGAAAACGCTTTAGTTCCCCCAAACCATCTCTTGGCACGTCTGACCAATGTACATATTGTTATGATTGGACTGCTTAATTCCTGCATGGGGAGAATTTAAAACGGTCAGACTGGCACCCATCAAAATATTTGTGAACTTACTCAAACTGGGTCAGGCTGAAGTGGAAATGACACAATTGTAGTGTTTTATATCACTTGTCAGAGAAGAACTTTGCAAGCAAGAGAAAAAAACAATTTAACTCTTTCCTACAGAGAAAAATGATCAAATGTTATCCATTTGCATTTAATATCTCCCTATGGCTTCTAGCCAGACAACTTCAGTTTGCAATCTCAGAAGCTAAACAGAGCTAGACTTGGTCAGAAGTTAGATGGGGGAAGGGAGGGACCAGCAAAGAAAACCCCCATATTACACAAATTGGCATTGCTGATTCAGAACCCTCTGCTCTCTGACACAGTAAAAATCCTTAGCATTATGTTTGGGTGCCATTGTGGGTGCTGTTTTTCAGATGTTTCAGCTGGATATAAGATTGTTCATGCCATAGGAATGGCTTTTAATAGAACTTGTGCTTTAGATCTCTTAGCTACTCTTGAAAATCTCCTAAATTGATAAATCTTGCCCCCGGTTTCCGTTTTGAAGTGTTCACTTTGTTGCAATTATTGGATGAGCATTTTACAGACACATTTCTGCCTACCAGATGCTCACACTGTGTGTTCACTGTGGGCATTTGTTATTCATTACCACCATTGTGCAATTAGATAATTTCAGGGAGATGCTGTTGTTTCTGCTCCCTGATTGGATGAGGATCAATTCACTTTGAAGATGGGAGCCAATCCACAGGATTAAGCAATTTTGGGGACACATTTAAACTTTTTCCCCCCTCCAAACTATCTGGGTCAAGTCAGGGCTGAGATGTCACTGCTAGAAAAGTTAAGCTATTGTAGTAACAGCAGCAGAGGTCAGATTTAAAATTAGTCTGAATGTTATGGGTGGAAACTATGTTATCAGAGGTACAATCTTAACTAAAACTTGTGGCTTGTCCCTCTCTGCCTATTTCAACTACCTGTCAGTGCTCCAGCCAGGGCCTTTCTGCAACTGAAGTTGCAAAATGTATAATATAGCCCAAGGGTTTGGGACAGGAGGCCTGGGTGTTGAGTTAAGCACTATCTCCTTTTCCAAGCACCTGCCAAATGCTTTTATTGAACTTGGTCTCCAATTGTGTCAGCTGTCACCATCCGCCACAGTCACAAGCCAATTCGTAATTGCAGCATGAATTAATGTGTCCAATCCTAATTCTGCAGAACACAGGTGGATCTCTAGGCTCTGTCCAGGAGAGTAATAGGATTCCCATAGTACTGTGTTGCCATGCAGTGCCCCATATACAAGAATATTTCATATATAATATAACAAAGGTAGATTTTGAATTTTCTAGTCTCCAGTTTTATAAGCCATCCATCAGACAGATAGTAATTGTGGAATGTGTGTGGGAGAACTTCTCTTGAGACTGTTTCCCCCCGGAAGATGCTTATTGTGACAAAGATGTTTCCTATTGCTCCTCCAGAATGCAGTTAGCTGGAGTTCCATGTTATGGAATACAGCTCTCCAAGGCTATTTTACACACTTTTTTGTTTGGAAGAGCTACCTTTGGGGTGCTGGTTGCATAGAGAGGAAGGCTGTCAAAGGGTCTATCTTTCAAGCTTGCTACATGATTATTCAGAACCTATTCTTGTCCCATCTCTTGAACACCAAATACTATAACTGAAAGTAAACAAGCCACATAGATAGAAGATACATTAATTTATTTTTACAATAAAAACTGTGAATAAAGTGTCATGGTTTTCAATGACTGAATTGGTCCCTCACAATCGCGTTTGGTGGGGTCACTCCAGTGATCGTCAAACTGTGACACACAAACGTTCAGTATAAGAGAAACAGTTAAAATTTCCATAGTGAAAGAAAGCTGCAGATTGTGTAGCAGAGAAGATATGAAAATTGCTATCTGGTTCATGGTTGCATCATAGGCTCTTTGAAAACCACCCCACTCCAAGAGGTCATCACAAAACCAGAATTGTATTCTTTTGTCTTTCCCCATCTGGAATGATTTTTTAAAATCCCTTTGAAAACAATAATTGGGCAAATTAACAAGGTTCTACTGGGGTTATACACACCCACCCTTAGGACAAGGAAGTTGTTAACTTTAATTTACTGAACATTACATAATGTATGGAAGGGCTTAGTTCCTATTTACTTTTGGGATTATTCATGATTTTATCAACACCAGTTTGATTTGTCGGATTTAAGGCAGCTATGATGTTACTGAAAATGAGACAAATATTTGTAACCGCATTTGCCTCAATATTAGCCAGATCTCTAGTTTCTGTCTACAACCACCTCCTTTCTACCATATATTAAGCTGATACTTTTGTAACACATTTGATGCTGTAATTTCACAAATCAGACTCTAAAGACCAGATATTAAGAATTTTACAGTAATTTGAAAAAAAATAGACACCAGTTATAAATAGGAAATATTACAGCCAACCTGGCCTTTATAGCAATATACAAATCTAAATTTGTTTATAGTTCTCTACAGAATAAAGTATCAGCTACCATATCCAAGGATGTCTCTGAAACCTAGCCGGGTTTTACACGATTAAAAGAAATTTGCAAAGGAAATTTGTGGACACATTGGAAATGTCCTATCACCGTACATGAGGAAAAGAACATCTCTGTAATAAAACCTAATCTTTTATGACACCTTCTCAAGAAAACAAACATCTCCCTTTCTTGGTTTGATGTCTGCAATGGTTAGCTGGGAATCTTCACTCTCACACAAGCCCAGCCTACAGACAAACATTGCTGCCCACTACTTAGTACTCCCTCCTAGCAAGCCCCAGTCTCACAAAGCTCCATAAATAGTGAGCAAATCCGGGGATGAATGGACCTAAAAATACAAAACAGGACAGACAGGTGACCCAGAATGGAAGATTCTGACAGGTAACTAAAAATAGATTATTTTAAATCAAATTAAAAATAGAGATAACGTAAGAGGGATGTGTTACTGACACTGCAGAAGCCTTGGGGTAACCTATAGCACGCAGTAAATCAAGTATATCATCCATCAGACGCTACCTTATCTGCATACAATAGTAATGTATCAGAGTGAGCGGGGGTTTCATCCCAAGTAGTGTTTACTGATTGATTTTGGCTACCCATATTTGAAAGCGACTTGCTACAGGAATTTCCAGGCTGCTCCACTAACTGTTCAGAAGCAGCACCAGCATGCTCATTCTCCTTCACTGTAGCACATGAAGCTGCATTTTCCTCAGCAGTCTGAGACAGATTCTGAGACTGGGCAGCCTGTCTCCCTCCTTCTGCCTCCTGCTGCTGCAGCATCTGCTCCACCTCAATCTCAAGTTCCAGATTTTCTTCATCTGCCTCCACTTCCAGCTGCTTCATTAACTCTTCCAGCTTCTTGGCCTTACGGAGTTCATTCTGCTGTATTATAGTGCATAGATGCTCTGTGAGATGCTCCTTGATCTCAGTCTTCCGTTGGAAATCTAGCTTTGCTGATACATACTCTGACTCTGCCTTATCATATCGCTTCCTGCAAAAATAATGTTTTTGGTGTTATTCATCCTGAAGAATCCCAAAGTGCTTTACAAGTTACACACATGGATGAATACTTGATCAATCACTGAAAGGCATTTTCCTCTGCAGTGGGCAAGGCCAGCTATTTAATAGCACACAGCAACATTGTTCAACAATTATAAAGCAAGGGACGGAAAGGAGAATGTGCCAGCAGAAGAAAGTCCACTCCATCAGTTTCCACTGCTGCTGCATTCTAGGAGTAAATTCCCTTGTCTGAAATGCACAGATGGCAAACAATTTTGTTGACTTTTGTATGAGATTCATCTCCAGCATGCTGAAAGAAATCATCACTAGTAACTGCTCCATGTATTCCAATGGAAAATTAACTATTCAGAAAGATACCAAAGTGATTCATGTTCATTTTATTGTTAGCTAAACAGATCAACAATCCAACAGATCAACATTCTATGTAATTAATGAAGTAGTTACATTGCTACTTCAGTCTTTTCTAAAAGTGTACTTTCCCTGTCATTCAAAAAAACATATACCTATGTCACTAGCAGTACAGATGGGCACAGCACATGACACCATATAATGACCACAGCTTTTGCAGAGTCACCAATGTAAAAATAATTGCATCATCAGCATGGACACTTATCAGTTTGTACATTCTGACGTGACAAACTTTCTAATGTAAAGCAACAATTACAAATATTTTGTGGGGCAACATAACGGTGGAAGGACTTAACTAGTAGAAGGATACCAGAGGCTGGCTGAGAGAGGAGGGAGGCTGTGGATCATACACACCACGACCCTGTATTGCACCTTGTGACAGAGAGCATCCACAAATATAGTATCACAAAGGTGCCTGTAAAAACAAAGAGCTGCTTCGGAAAGCCATATTCAGGTGTCTCATTACCAAGCAATAGAGGGACACAGTGGTCCTTTTGTTTGAGGAAGCAGAACAAAATGAAACAGGATTTTTTCAGAGTATATTTCAGTAAGAAATAACCGCAGGATTCTGCTCCCAGCTGGAACTCTATTCATGGCAGTGAATGACAAAGCCATGTCCACAGGGCCCCAAAATACCCACTCCTCTTTCTGTCACAAGGGAGTCACAGAGATGATGTAATGAAGAACTCAGACATGAAGCATACATGCAAGGAACAAAATTAAGGTTACTGTGGAAACATTTGTCCAATTAAAACTTTAACCTGCATGAACATAGTTTTTTTTTTTTTTGCATCGGAATATTTATAAATATTCCATTTTATAGTCTGAACTATGCAATTAGGACTATAAATACTGCACTTCTTGGCAGGTTAAACTAATTTGGCATTTAGCCTTAAAATATAAGGCAAAACTTCAATAATTGCTCAGAAAGGCATTGCTTGTTAGGTAAATGAAAGCTTTTAATGGTGGGTGGTATATTCTACAACACTGAAAATCCATGTGTAACTCTACTTTCCAAATCATGAAAAACTGATTATACAAAAACACAGCGAACTCATGAGGCGTATTTTTAAAGCTTTGCCTTCTTTCCCTACTAACCTTCCTTTTTCCATCTTTGTTACCTAAGTACAGTTTCCTGTAAACATTCTGTATGATTTTTTCCTATCACTGAGAATTTAAGATGCACAGTTCAAATGGGTGTAATGTTTTATGATACATGTCTAAATGTTTCATGGTTTCTGAAATCTATTTGAGTAAATCCTACAAACACACTGGCACCGAAAAGTCTTCTCTGGCATAGATCTGAAACTGTGTGATTTTTCCAAAATATCCTAAAATAGTGGAACTACATAAGGTCAGCTAGTCCCTGCCATTTTAAATGATAATTAGTCGATAGCTATCCTCAGTACTTAGCTGCCACTGGTATTCATTTAAAAGCTAATTACCATGTTTATTGGCCTGTGGGTCAATACACAGCAAAAGTTACAAGGAAAACTACAATTTCTACACGTTGAATAGTGAACTAAAACCACAACCAAACATTTCCATTTCATTAAATGCCTATATAAACATGCTTATATTTACATACTCATGTTGTGGTTTACCCTATACTAATGAGGCACTCAGATTAATTTTACATGTTGAAGGATGCTGCAAAAGAGAATCGTCAGAGTTGCACTCCCTTGTAGTAGTAATAATAATAATAGTAATAAAAAAACCTCAAATGATGGAAAGAGACATTGAGAACCCTGAAGACTGAAACTGACCTACACTTGGTCCCAATTCAAGAAAGTACATATTTAACTTTAGGCATGTATGCAAGTCCCACAGATTTCAATAGAGCTTAAGTGCTGTCCTTAATTAGGGCGCTTTCCTGACTCAGGACTTTTGTTTACAGAGTTGATGTAATACATTACATGTGTTTGGTTCTTCTTTTAAAACTGCTCTTTTCCCAGGAAAAAAGCCAACAACGAAACCACTCTGTAACACAGTAGTGCTTATGTATAACTCTACCATAACGGACCAGCACATATGTACAATGAAAAGGCGGGGGATGGGGTGGAATGGCAAGTAAAGTTTTCAGTCGGGAAACTTATGTTAGTTGCAAGCTTCTGTTTAGGCCACTATGATCTAAAGAGAAACCACTGTATATTAAAACTTGTTAAATACACCTGCACTGGGTCTTTTAATGACATGACTCGCATCAGCCTTTCTTCAGTGAAAGGAAACTGCATACATTTTCCCCAAGAGTACTTGCTGCTCTGTCTGTTAATTGCTTACCGAGCAAATGAATAGTCCATGCTGGCCTGATCGATTCGGTTCCTTAAGATCCCAATGTCAGCAGACACCATGTCATCCAGAGCCTGTAGCTCTTTTTGGATTCGCTTTAGTTTCACTGTTTCAGCCTGAGTTCTTTTGGATCTGAAAAAAACAAGATGCAAGTTCTCTCTCTTTAGAAGCATCCTACACAAGAGACATGTTGTGTTTCAACTCCAGACCCATCAGCTCATTAGTAGTTGCTCAAAGGTTTCTCTTTGATAGTTTAAGGCTACGTCTTCACTACCCGCCGATCCGGCGGGTAGCAATCGGTCTATCGGGGATCGACTTACCGCGTCTAGTGAAGACGCGATAAAATCGATCCCTGATGGCTCTACCGTCGACTCCGGAAATCCACCGCGGCAAGAGGCGGTAGCGGAGTCGACGGCGGCGCGGCAGCTGTCGACTTGCCGCCGTCCTCACAGCCAGGTAAGTCGACCTAAAATACGCCACTTCAGCTACGCTATTCACGTAGCTGAAGTTGCGTATCTTAGGTCGACCCCCCGCTGTAGTGTAGACCTAGCCCAAGATTCTTGATCTTTCTTCCCATATTTATGGGGATCTAAAGTGTCTGCTATTAACAGTCTGAAACAAAAATATGTAATGACTGCAATCAAAGTGCCTAAAATGGATTGTATTCCTTCACTCGGAAAACTCACTCTTTGAAACTAAGTAACTTTAAGCATAAGAACATAGAAAATTGCTAGAAAGGAAGCCAAAGGAGGCAGGAGCCAAAAAGACTGGGTCACCTAGCCCAAATGTGATTATTTCCATTTTGTAGGATTACTCTCTATAGGCCTGATCCAAAGCCCAGTGAAGTCAATGGAAAGAGTCACATCAAATATGAAAGATTTCAATCAAGCCCTACATAATTTTCTTCAACTCTGTTTATTACATTTGTAAGTTCAAGAACTAAAACTATCTACAGGAAGCATGTTCAGACCCAAGCACCTCAGGTAATTTTCAATGAGATCTCATACTAGGCCATGCTACCACCACCCATCATATCAGTGCACCACGCTTGTCAAACACAGATTTGATTTTCCATAAAATAGCCTTAGGTATCTTAATATCTCCAGTCTTCTGACTGACCAGCATTAGCAAACCACTGTCACCTTTTTAATCAATTCACCAATTCTATCAGCAACTGGTCATGTAACCAATACCTTTTTCACACCACCTGTATCCAGATACATACCAGCTTTGCACCTCCAAATGCCCCTTATATTATCAATTCCTTTACATTCAACTATAATAGAGACTTATCCTGTTATTCCCACAACTAAACGTTAACTCAGCCCTATCTTTCACCCTTGTGCCAGCAGTCTAATAAGCCCTTTTAGCTCAGCCACTTTTTCCAAACTACATATTAGCCCCATCAACTATATCCTCTAGTCTTCTCTATTTCATTCACCCAATTCTTGTATTCTCTAGTCCCATACTCTGAAGCCTGTTGGACACTGCTGCTTCATTTATCTCTACACTCCTTCTTGTCTTAGCATTAAAGGTCTCTGACTTAATACCAACACTTGTTTCTCGCACAGTGTGCATTCAGTCTGAACTTAGCACAGCTGGTTGTCCTCTTCTATCAGACTCAACTTGCTGCATTTTTCATTAATATTAAGATGTCTTTAATGGAGATCCTTTCATCAGAGAATCTCAAAGCACTTTACACACCATAATGAATTAAGTCTCTCCAGACTTCCGAGAAAAAGGTAATATTCCCATTTTATAGCTGAGGGAACAAACAGACTAAGTGACTTTCTAAATGTCACATAACAAGTCACTGGCAGAGCTGGGACTAGAACCCAGGAGTCCCTGTCCCCTGCTCTAATCACTGTACACAATACCACCAAATTAAATGCAAAATCACTGATCTGTTCAAGAACATCAGATTCACTCTGTAAAATTGTAACAGGAATTATCAGTCTGCAGAAGAAGCTGCATCTTCAGAAATGCAATCCACATAAAAAGAGCTTCTTAGCCACCACACAATTTGGAATAAAATGTGAGTATCATATACTGTTGCTCATTTGCACACACACACACACACACACACACACACACACAAAAATCTTTAGTGCAGAGGAAAGGGGGACAAGTTGGATTTGCTAAAACTTAGTAACTTATCATAGACAACAAACACCCCCCTTCCCTAGGTATGGCAGTAGAACGCAGAACGTCCTCATCACCTTTCAGCAATGGCTTTGGCCAGGAGTGCCTTCTTGCGTTTATTCTTCTCTTCCATCAGCCGCTGCTCCTGCTGGAGAACTTCCCAACGAGATTTCTCCTGCCTGGGCATTGACAAAGCAACAGGGTTAAACAAGGGTTCGTCTCTTTCCTGCCTCTCCCCACCCAAACAGCAGTCATACTCCTTGTGTTTATTTTATTGGAGCACCCATTAAGGATTTCCAAGAATCCAAGGACAGCTCAACACCTCGGTTCTGTGCGAATGAGGAAGGAAGACTGATCAGGAAGAAGAGTTATTAGCTTCAGGAGATACTCAAGTTTACTCTTAAAAAAAAAAGCAAGCCAGGGTCTCTTATGAACAAAGAATGTGGGGTTTGTTCTTTGCTACATTAGAATCCCATGTTTTTAACTAAAATTAGCATATATTGTTCACAAATAGGTGGCTTTTCACTATGAATCATACACACCCCAACCCATCTCTAAAATCCTGGGCAGACAAATATTTTATGGTATTATATAAATTCATCCTAATTGGATTAAATGAATGCAACAGTCTTTGGCTGTTGGTGGCCGAATGCCATTTTCCCCTACGTAAGTCACATCATGTTAGTTGTTGCGGTGGTTTCATCCATCACCTTTTCAAAAGGATCTCAGTAACAATCCTCTCCTCATAATTTAATGCATAATAGGGCTGTTCTTCCATGAACAAGGCATACAATGGAGGATAAAAATAATTGGGTTTTAATTTAAAAACTATTTTTGTATTTCAATTGGTGTCTGATTTTATTTAAATTATAGTAAGGTTTTCTTTTTAAAAACAAACCTGCTTAAAATTAAATCTGAATTTAATATAAAATACGTTAAGGCCTGAACTTATGTGAAATGTGAAACATGCAAATGTGAAACATGTTTTGATAAGAGAAGTTTATGTATCCAAAACATTCAATGTTATTTTAATAAAAATAAATTTTATATGTTGTGTTTAATTAAATTCCATTTACTCCCCAATGCAGTTTGACACAAATATTAGCAAAAAGTTAATTATCTAATAAATACGCAACATATTCACCATTTTCTAACATACAAAAAATGTACAATTAATAAGAATCTGAAAATAGTAAGCTATACAATTGTCTAAATAAATGTATACAGCTATAGTATATCCTCCTAGGTAGCAAAGAGATGTACCAAATAGTGTGTAAAGTTGTATTTAGTTGTAAATCAACATTTTAATGGTTATATCAACCAATGAGAATGCACCTTTATTGAGAAAATAACTGAAGTACAAATGGAAACGTTGATTAAAATTGATTATTTAAATTGAGGATTTCCACTTGGTGATTTAAATTGCTGTGATGTAAATCAATCCACCCCGGAATAAAACATCTGAAGTTACTTGATAGCTAAAGGGAAGGAAGAAATTTTTTCAAACCACTGTGATGCTAGAACATAGGGTGTTATTTGACATGGGAATGTTCCAATGGAATATACATGGTAGTTGGGTCTGCATTGGTGGCTGCTGGGCAGCAACCAACGCGTTAGCTATAGAATGTACTAAGTGGGAAAGTTTGGCCCTGTCAGTCTGACATAGCACTATCCATGGCCAGGGTGGATAAAAATCAATTATTTAAAAAAAAAAATCAAAAATATTGGATTTTTTTTATTTAAATCGGATTTTTTTGATAGATTTTTTTCCTCAAAAAGCATTTCATCTAAAGATAATTTTAATTAAGATACATTATAGCTCAAAGATATCTCATCATGGAATAGGGATTATAAATTCTAATTCTATAGTATGAGACAATATATTCATGTAATCTTTAAGAAAAGTTTTGTAAATGAGTTCCAATAGTTCATGGATTAGGGACCCCATTTTATGGGGTTCCAGGGGCTTCTGTATAGATTATTTACGTTAATATTTCTATCTTCCCAATGGGACTCAGTGCTTAGTCTAGAAGAATAGATCTGGACAAGAAGAAGAAGTCTGGAGATAAATGTGAGATGGGAGGGACAGGTAGTAGAAACAAAAGTGAAATTGTTTGAGCAGCATATTGCAGAAGTCTTGAGGTCTTTGAGTGTAGCCTTCATTGATTTGAGATCTACCACACCATTCTCTCACTAGAAGGGAAAATCTATAATGGCAGCAGGCCGTAAGAGAGACCCAGTTTGGGAATAAGAACCATTCAAGAAATATATGTTTGCTGATGATGTTTTAAAGAAAGTCACACCAGTGAACTGGTGGAAGTCACATAAGCACTTGGATTCAGAGCCTGTTGAAGTAATAATCTCACTTTTAACAGCAGTAGCTTCTTCTGCTAGTGTAGAAAGAATATTTTCTTCCTTTGGACTAATTCATTCCAAATTCAGAAATCCTTTGGGACCCGAAAAAGCAGGAAAGCTTGTTTTTCTTTTCCAGATTATGCACGAACAGGAAAATGAAGGTGAAGACGACTGAGTTAGCTGCAGAAGCCAATATTTTAAGTTTCTCATGTTGACCTGGCTGACATAGTCGATTTAAGTTTTTGTTGTTTTTTTTAAACTCATTTAACTATTTTAGTTAAAAACAATTTTAACAAAAACAAACCTGATTTTAAAAAAACTTGAATGTTTAACTAACTTCAAAAATTCATATGCTTGTTTTGTTAAAATATTATATGTTTGCTGTTGAAAAAAAATCCAGAATACGTAACATTGTTTTAGTTAGATAAAACAATTTAAATGTCTGTCTGGTGATGTTCTCCTCCTAATACAGCATGGCAAGAAAATCCTCCAAATATTAATGATTAACCTGTTGAATTGGAGAAAGTTCACCTCCCAATGACTTCATAAATATCTGCTTCAATTACCTTTGGTAAATGAAATACCAAACAATCATTCATTTTCTGATATAGCTGTAAAACTAATCTGAAAAGTTTTCAAAATAAATCACTTTAAAAATGTATAGTGTGTACCTTCTAAAAATGAAACCTATATCTCTGAGTTGTGAAGAATATTTATTAAGGTTATAACAACCAACAAGAATGCACTTTTTAATATAGAAATCCATGAATAAATCGAGTCTTCCTGACTAGTGATTTAAATCAAATCCACCCTGTCCATGGCTTTGCTGAAGTACGTACTTACTTTTTAAATGAATACATGCCACGGAGCATTACAAAATGCTTACAGTCAGGGGAAGAATGAACATTCTACTGAGTACTGGGACTCTCACTGATGGAAAAAGAAATAGAGCGTATGGAGGCATGCAGGAAAAGAAACCTAAAAATGTAAAACACAAAAATCACCTTAATACAAGCTGTGCCAGATAGCCAGTCTTTTACACAAAGGAAAAATAAATACACGTAAGGCACCTGGCCATTTATGCAGTGCTGTACCACAGTAGAGAGAAGGAGAACTTCCTGACTAAAACTACACATAGCTGCTTGCAGCAACATGGAATAGTGGACTAGATGGGGCATGCGTCTGATCAAGTATGGCAATTACTGTCCAGATGGTTCAGAGGAGGGTGCAAAAATCCCCACTCTAGGCCCCTATGGGGTAATTTGATCCCCGTGATACTCTCATCCTAACCCCTAATTGTTAAAGATCAGCTCAAACCCTAAAACATGATGTTTTATCCCTTGTTTCCAATACTTTTTAGCATTAACTATAACAACTTTGGCGCCTAAGAACTTATTACTCTGGGTACCCAGAAGTAACTTCAGACAAACAAGGGCAAAATAGTTACAACAAACAAGACAGTAAGTATATAGTCAGGCAGTCTATTTAAAAAAAAAAAAAAATTGCTCATTCTAGTAAACTATTCTGAAACTATTCTGATATCAGGAATTTCTACACAGTCAAATATTTATTATTCACCCAGCTCTACAAACTGGGTGAAAAAAAGAGAAATACTGGCCTAATTTATTGGAAAAAATTGTGAAATTCATCAAATATGTTATTTGATCAGCTCTATTAGTTACAGTAAGCAGAGAACAGAAGGTTAGGTGTGGTTAGGCAGGAAAGGGACATTTGGGATGGGTTTTGAGACGCTATACTGAAGTGAACAGGAAGGGTTTAAGACCAACTTTTAAAAGAACAAGCAATTCAGTAGTTTGGAGAGACACACACAGCTCAAGACACACACAACAACACAAGCGAAAAATGTCTCTGGTGCAACCCCCCACCCCTGCTGTAGAGTAACAAGGAGTAATTACAGAGGAGGCAGAGACTAAGTCAGCAGGTAAGAAAACACCAGTGTATAGCGAGTTAACCTCACAGCCTTCTCTTGATGCAAAAAGGATGGGTTTTTTTCAATCATGTTAGCTCAAGACGACTGAAAAACCCCATCAAGATGCAGTCTAGCACATCTAAAGCCATGTTCTCTGGCCATTATTTAGCCAAGGGGGGAGACTTAACAACTGAAACCCACCTCCACACCAAATCAAAAGGAGGGCCCATAGAAAGTTTTGAAAACCAGGAGAGCAATTTTTTGAAAGGGGCAAAAGTTAAACAGAACCAAAAAGATGCATTTCCAAATGTGAGCTTTGTATACTACATAAATAAACCAGAATCAACAGATGTGCTTAACCCTTCAAAGACAATAAAAAAAAAAAAAAAAAAAGAGTCCCATGACCTGGCCGCCTTACAATTTAGGTCCCTAATCCTGCAATCTTGCCTGAATGGAGTCTATTGAAGACAACGGGACTCCATTTTCTGCACGAATTAGGGCTTGTCTACACTGGCACTTTACAGCGCTGCAACTTTTTCGCTTGGGGTGTGAAAAAACACACCCTAGCACAGCAAGTTTCAGTACTGTAAAGCACCAGCGTAGACAGTGCGCCAACGCTGGTAGCTGCGTTCCTAGAGCTGGTAGCTGCACCCCTCGTGGAGGTTGGTTTTTTAGAGCGCTGGGAGAGCATTTTAACATTGCCAGTGTAGACTAGCCCTTTAGATTGCAGGACTCAGGTCTACATGAGATATTACTGAACAAAGGGTGGCAATTAAAGGATCAGCAGAAAAGAAGCAAAGGAGAAGACTTCTTATTCTAAAATACAGTACAGTTTAATATTAAACTTTAGTTTATTGTACAACAAAATGATGAATTAGTAAGGAATAAAACCAATCCCTTGATTTTACAGACTTACTAACAATTCCACTCTCTTTTTCTCCAGTTTGAAATCCATCTTTACAGGGAGTTCCTGGGGTTTTTCATTGCCATTACAACGATTTTCAAGTCCCTGTGCATTCTGTTGAGCTCTGGTGTCATGTTGCCTTTGATCCTTGATTGGGGATGGAGGTGGCGGCGGCAGAGGCTGCTGAGGAAGACAGGGCTTGTGTTTTGGTACAGAAAGCAGCTGTTCTGGAAGTACAGAGGCTGCTCCATCCTGCCGTCCCAGTTTCTGACATTGTTGCTGAAGAGCTTTTTCTCGTAGCAACTGCTGACGGCTCTTATTTACAGACAGGGGTCGACGCTGCTGATCAGAAGATTCAGATGTATCTATTTATAGTAAAAATAAAAACAGAATCCTTTTAGGAGAGGCAAAATCTTGACGATTTATTTTCTTATAAACTCTAAGGCTGGTAACATGATCAACCTTTGTCAGAAAGCCACGTGAGTGAGGATATGCAAACAAGCCACGTAAAAATGTTTTGCTGCTATAATATTAATACTAGAGGTTCAGGTTATTTCAGTGAAATACAGGAACTTGGATGCTGGACAGAACTCCTGGATTACTCAAAACTGTGGTAAATTTTCCATCGCTTGAAATCTTTCAATCAAGCTTTCAGGTCTTTCCAAAAGGCATGCTCTGGTTCAACCACAAGTTGTTGGGCTGGATGCAGGAATCACTGGATGCAACTGGACAATACAGTTGGTCAGACAAGATCAGTGGTTCTCAAACCTTTTGTACTGGCGATCCCTTTCACTCAGCAAGCTCTGAGTGCGGATCCTCCCCCTTAAATATAAAAATATGTTTTTAGTTTATAACACTATTTTAAATGCTAAATTTATAGCCGTACTGTTTAAAATGAACTTGCCTTTTCTCACTGCTTTTAAATTAAAACGAAAAGACATTTTTATCAAATTACTGTTATAAGCAGAAAAGTTATTTTTTGAAATAGTTACTATTTAATACTGGGGGGAGGGGCACGAAGCAACTGTATCAATATCACTTTTCACAGCAGACTTAGTGCCCCATTGCCACCCTTACTTCTGCACTGCTGCTGGCTGCAGCACGGCTTTCAGCGCCACCACCACCAGCAGCACAGAAGTAAGAGCGGCAATGGGGTGCTAAGTCTGCTATGAAAAGTTATATCTGTATGTTTGTTAATATCACCTTTCACAGCAGACTTACTAGGGCAAACTTCCTATCTAACTGGGAAGCTGTGAACAGTGATATTAACAAACATACAAATATCACTTTTCACAGCAGACTTACTTGCGCCCCATTGAGACCCTTACTTCCGTGGTGCTGCTGGCAGCAAGTGCTGCCTTCAAAGCTGGGTGGATGGAGAGCAGCAGCTGCTGGCCAGGTGCCCAGCTCTGAAGGCAGCATCGCCACCAGCAGCAATGCAGAACTAAAGGTAGCAATGCCAC